CTGCTGTCACTATCTGCGCTTGAGTTCCATGTAAATAACCACGTAATACAAAACTGACAACAGTGTTTGTAAAATAACAGTAAAATAAACTACTTTGAAACTTTGAGCTTGAGATAGTTATAGGATAGTTAGTTGTTTACTGACAAGTTTTCCACTTTATAATCTGGTCTGAATTATTTTTAGTTTTCAATAAAGATCATTTAAAGAGCTAACTGTAACAACAAGATAAGATATTAACTGTTTTAACTTTTCTACTGAACCTCTTAGCAAATTATTCAAACTATCACTTTAAAGACATTTAAAACGGACCTCTTTAAAAAAATCGGGGGCTTCCATTTAAATCCTTGTTTCAAAAATCATTAACTTCTTCTCCTATTGGACCCACAGAATACATGAAAGTGTCATTTTTAGCATTTCAGTCAACCCTCACTTTATTCTCGCATCACAATAAACATTGAGCTATAACTGATAAATGCATAGCTCATTAAGTGTAGCCATAATTGGACCAGGACTGCGTGCTAACAGCAAGTAACAGCAAACTTGACATCTCAGTTATGTTTGGCCCTATTGTAGAGCATTTGAAGGCCCCCCAAGTCTCAAATCCATTTTTATTTTTGCTGTATTGACTTTTTCAGCTTCCAGCCAAAGACATAATGAAGGCTTCCTGCAGCTGCTGTGACCTGCTTCTGTACAGTATATGCAGACAAAACACAGCTGAAGGAAAAGACCATTGTTTATCAGTACATTTTGGCTTCCAGAGCGCACATTCCCTGCAAAGAAAATTGTCATTTTTGGAGCAAAATGGAAGCACAGACATGTATGATGACTGAGGTCTTAACCTGGAGCAATGCTTTTATCGCCGACTGTAAAAATAGCCGTGTCTGCGCGATTATGTTTATCTTCGTACGGCCGTGGTCATTAGTCCCGGAAATGGACCGTGGAGTTGTTGTTCGTTCATTAGTGCAGGTTTGTTCATTTCTGGTTAACGTCGCTGCCATGTTCCAGAGACAGCTGTCACCCAGGCATTAGCAGTCTGACGGCGTCCCCGCCGTGTCTGCCACGGATCTAAACTTTTATTTCCCAGGTCAGCAGTGTGACATTCAGTGAAGCTGAATGTTTCTTGACTCTACACAGCTCAATAATTAATAATCGCTCTCCCAGGTGAGCTCAAATTGGAGCGCGTTAAAGTTGTAGCGAAACTGCGGCGACCCTAAAGCCTTTCAAAGAACCCCTCCCTCACCTCACCTTGTCTTGTGGCTGCGCTTCTTTTCTCTCCTGCCGCCGTGCGGCCCTCAGCGCATGCATTAGAAGAAAAGTTATTTTGAGCTGTAAGAAATTCAAATTACCCCCCCATGCTAACTTTTCCAGAGCATCCAGACCTTTGAGACAGCCATCCTTAAAGCACAAGGGTCCGGGATAACAAACGGCATGTTTGAAGTGCTCCTTGGAGAGCGCACCAACACAGGCCCGCAATCACGACACTCCCAACACACACTGTTATACCCCACTTAGCTTTTCAGTGTGGACCATGGCTTAATTAAAGCAAAATGTATACTATATGTTTTTTAGCTGCAGCATGTTGTGTGTTTATATGATGGCGAGTGGAGCCTGCATGAATAAGTAGTGTAAATCCATGAATATTTATACTGTCAATATAATTAGCGATGTAGACTAATGGAGGCCATGTTTTGCACTTGAAGCCATGCCAGTTTTTTTTTTTTTGTGTGTGGTTGTTTATTTCCTGGCTTGTTGTCCCCACTGCAGCACTAAATAAAGAGCATGATTATTCCCAAAGCATTATGCATTTGCTAACTCTACCGTGCGGTCGTTCTACTTGTTGTTCTTGTCTAAACTGTTCTGGTTTGGTATATATTTATCTCGTAATAAATCCCTTTTTTGTGTATTGACAGTGCCGTCATTTGTTTCTAACCGAGTCATTGCCCTTGCCATTTGATAGAATTAATTGTCTGCTTAATACACCTTATTTTACACTTTGACTTGGCAGCAAATTAAAATAAAAGCTTTTAAATTGTTACCGATACTTATACATGTTTTCCCCTCCCCTTTTCTCTGTATGTGAGCAGTGTTTGTCCAGGCCAACAAGCTCCAGCAGCACATTTTCTCCGCCCACGGACAGGAGGATAAGATCTACGACTGCTCGCAGTGCCCGCAGAAGTTCTTCTTCCAGACAGAGTTACAGGTGAGCCTTTGGGATGGAGCAGTGAACGCAGCGCTCAGCGAGAGCACAGCCGCTAATTGCATGTGACAAATCCAACAAACACTAACCGCTGCTCACCGCTCTCTGGCTATCCCCTCCTTCCTGGCTGGGATGAGCAACTCAGAAGGAATTATTTCAGTCCGTTTCCAAAACTCATTTGTGATGTGCAGATCTGATTTGATTTGCTTATTAGACCAGCAGAGCACTAAAATATCTGGAATTAGAGGATTAGCGGAATGCTCATTTTTGAAGAGGTAATTACATGCAGTGCTGAGACAAAAACACAGTTGAGTCAATATGCCCGCATCTCCTCTCCTAATCGCAAAGGAGGCCTCGTGGCTAAATATGAGCTCCGTCCTCGGGGAGCCCATATCTGCCCTTCAACAAAGTTAGCAGTTGGACTTATGAACTTGCAACGTTAAGGAGATAATCCATTTTCTAGCAATCTTTTTGCTCTGGTCCTTGGAGGAGCTGGAAAAAATGAAACAGACCTTATTATATTATTTCACTGTGGTGGTGTTTTCCAGCAGCTCTGTTTTGTTTGGGGGATTCACAATCGTACACACGGCACTCGCCTCATATCAAGATCCTTTCCTGTTTTTCAAAACTGAATAGCCAAAATATGAGTTCTCTACAAGTGCAATGTTCAACCCTATCGTTAAAATTAAAGTTAATATGTCTTAAAAGGATGGGTCAGATCTCCTAAACTGGGGTAATGCACAAAAGGTTATGAACAATTAATATTTTACCTGTTGCAGGTAGCTCTTCAATTGGCTTCAGTTTAGAGAAACAGAGTACAGTAGTCCCTCATTTATCACAGGGGATCCGTACCTTGAAGCCTTGCGATAACTGAAAAACCGTGAAATAGGAATAGTAGTACAAGTAGTTATTAGTAGTTTATTTTATTATATATACATATAATATATATATATATATATACATCAATATATATATATATATATATATATAAAGGGGTTTTAAACCCTCCCCAGACTCTTGCAATATTCTAAACAATGTTTATAAACTCTATAAACACTCTAAAAGAGCACAGAATGTCATGATTTTCCTCTCTCTGCCTTATCTGCTCTTTGCCACCTGCACGCGTTCTTGGCCACACCCACCTTTACACTCTGCATGGAGAACAGTTGATCAGCTGCAGCAAGAAGTTTATCCTGCAGTATGGCCTGCACAAATGTGCAGCAGGTGCTAAATAATTTAAAATAATTTATTTTAAATAAAAAATTCATGCCGATTGTGCGGCTCATCCATCAATCAGCCAGTTGTGTGTCATGTTCAATCTCTTGAAAAACCGCAATAGAGCAAGTCCACGATAAACGAACCGCGAAGTAGCAAGGGGCTACTGTAAATTTAATCAGACTGATGAGCTAATAAATGAGGTCAAGACCGAAGTGGACTGTTTATGATGGAAAACTACTACAACCTCAAAGATTGCATAACAATTTATATGGATGCTAATTTATAAACCTTTGCACCATTGTCAGTTTCACAAGATGTAGGTATTTGTATTGCGTGCGGTGGTTTTGCATTTCCAAGTACCTTTGGCAGAAGCATAACATTTTGCTGAAATAACTATGTACAGTAAATTGACAGCAATGTTAATGTTTATAAAACAAAGTTTGCACAAACTGCTATGAATTTAGATTAGATTTGTTTTTTATGCAATCCTTGGATTAGCCATTAGTTTATCTATCAGGTCAAAATTAAACTTTATTTTTCCCGAACCGAAGCCAGTTAGGGATTATCTACAACAGGGGAGATATTTATTACTTATATCTTTTTCTTTTATCAAAAGAACTGAACTGCCCCTTCAATTTGATGAAATAAGCAAACAGCCTAATCCTCTTCTTTACATCTGCCTAAAACCTCAGATGTGCAGTTGTGTGTATTAGCAGGTAGCCAGAGGAAGCATCCATTGATCAGCAGTGATTTTCATATTGAAATTCAGGTTGTAAACACAGATGCGTTTGTCTGCCAGGAGGAAGGTGAATGTGATCATTATCTGCTGGTCATTCGAGCACCACTAGCATGAATAAAACAATTCCTAATCCACCAACATGCAGCTCCACTGCTAAGAAGATTATAGAAGAAGCCTCAGCAACAACCTCCGTATACAAACTACCAATGCAGATGCTTTTCATTTATATTAGCCCCCACCTTTTTTAGTGTCATGTTTTTATTTCTCATTGGTACAAGTGTTTTCTATATAGCAAGGGTTGCAGGAGGTACCTGTAAACAATCTCAAATAACCTGGGGATGTTTGCCTACTTCTTCTCTTTTTTTTCTTTATGTTTGACATTTTCTGGAATGAAGTGATCTCCTCCTCCCGGAGGTGATGTTTCATGCATGATTATATTGTTTTAGTGTGTGTGAAGAGACGAGCGCAGAACATGAAAGACCTATGGCACTGTGTTGTGAAACAGGGTGTTATGAAAGGAGAGCAAGAATGAGCTCGGGGGATAAGACAATCATTATCCTCAACCTGTTCCCTGCTCTATAGACAGTCCCATGTGAGTATATGATGGCGTGTTCTCGAGCACGTATGACACGCATATAGATGCATGTACTGTTATGTTATAATTGAAGTTACAGAGTATTTTTTTATCTCGTTTTTGCGCTTCAGTTTTTTAGTTTTACTAATGAACTTTCACAGCATTTCTTTCCATCTATGATGAAAACTTTACTGGTTGCTAGCTTGTTTTTTTATTATAGTTGTTTATTTGTACCATTTCCCAAACTTCACTCTTCAAGATGTCTACCTGACTCAGGGCACTCGTTTGTCAGTCTGTCTGAACAGGAACTGTCTTCCAGCAGAGATAGCGCCTTCTCTCTCTGCTTGGTCTTGAGTTTGGAGCTTTCTCCCCTCATTTCTTTGTGACTCTCTGGTCCACGCACTGCCTGCATGGGCTCCTCATCTCTCACAGTAGTCGGAGGGGTCAAAGGGCAAGAGCAAGCCGGGAGAGGAGAGCAGCAAGAGGGAGAGCTGCCACGGCAGGTAAAGAGAAGCGGGAAAGATATTTTATTAATTTGCTGCTGAGATCCTGAAACAGACCAAAGGCTGTGACAGGTATCCACCACATCCTCCTCCACCGCCTCCACCCCCGTGAACTCTACCCTGCGAGGGGCTAGCCAATTTTCGCCAGCCTGTCGAGATGGATGATGGGAGAGCATCCGTCTAATCAGCCCTCTCAGGACCCCCTGCCCAGCCGCCCCCCTCAGACCATCCAGATTGACTGACTCCTGGGCCTGCGTGCCCCAGAATCCAGGTTCCAGAGGAGAATAATCTCTCTTGCTCTCCTTCTCTTTTTCATCCATTTCTCTTCCCACTTTTTTGATTTTATTTTACTCGGACAAAAAAATTTGGAGTGAAATGCACAGAACACTGCTCCCCTTCAAACTCTCCAGACGACTCCCCTTTGCTGTCACACACCTGGCCTTTCCCTTCCCGCCACCCCATTAAAACATGGAGTAAAGTCTAGATATTTCATGAGGTGCTGATATGGAGGGCGACCGGGCAGGTGTTGCAGTCTCTTTCTGACCCTTGATTACTGCCCACACCAGGGGCGACTCCAGTATCACTGCAAAGTCTCCAACCAAATAAAACAGTAAACCTCATACTTTTATTGCAGCTGTCCCCTCACAGAAATGTCTCAAATATTTTTTGTCACTTATTCTTGGAAAAAAAAAAAAAGAACTTGCTTCTTACTGTGTGTCAGCTTCAGATATCACCGTGTTTCACACCGCACAAGGAACTGAGCCTAAGACAAGGGTGCCTGGCTGGATTAATTAGCCAGATTCATTAACTGATGGATGCACAGTATTAGCCACAGCTTTCATCTGACATTTCTCTAAGTGCAGCTCATTTATGTGTGTGTGTGTAAAGACGTTTATACACACAGGTTCAGCTCCAGTGTTGCTGTAACTACTGGAGGGTTGAAATCAGACGATTCTCTCCCAATGATTCCTCTGAAGACGAGACAATGAGACTGAAGTTATACAGCAGTGATGATGACATTTTATGCACCAAAACTCCCTTGTTCATTTTATGCTGACGTTTACCATATTTTTCGGCCTATAAATCGCAGTTTTTTTTGCATAATTTACATGCTCTGTGACTTATACACCGAAGCAACTTATTTTTGTTTTTCCCCATATTTATAAACCAATTTTTAGCTGAGATATGACCGTTTTCATTCATTCTGACTGAAAATATTGAACACTACAATTTTCAGCCACTAGATGGCACTCAAGTAATATGGCATGCCGTTGTGCAATGTAATAGGTAAAAGTGGCTATTAATGACACAGTTGCCTTGCCATAGCCTTCCACCTTCATTCATGCAGCAACCGTAAATCAGCTTCATTTTGCCGCGCCACCCCGGCAAAATGAAGCTGATTTGACCATTGAAGTGCATTTATTAAGAAAAAGCTCAACTGAGACGCACCTTTGCTATAATGTCGAGCAAACAAATAATTGTTTTTAGGTGGTTATTTTGTTAAATTTCGAAGAATTGCACAGCAAGTTGTCCCTCTGTACGTTCCTGTTTCCGTGAGTTCGCTTTTGAAATGCAGCTGATTTGACCATAAAGTTAAACTGAGACACACCTTTAACATAATTTCAAGCAAACAAATAATTGTTTTTAATTGTTAATCTTGTTAAATTCTTGTTAAAATCCTCCCGTGCACGCTCCCGCGGCTGCCATTTGGCAGCTAATTGATTTTTGGCACAACACCGGCCCACATTTCCAGGTTGTCACCAGTAATTCGTAATAGACGCAACTTATACGGCGAAGCGACATATTTATGGATTTTTCTACTTTATTAGATATATTTGGATTGATGCGACTTATAAGGCGGTGTGATGTGTACGGCGGAAAATACGGTAATTTATATTGTAATTCCTCATATCTTCAGTTTTCATTGCATTCTTGGAAGTGACACAAGATTACAAGTCGTGTTGAGTCT